GGATTGTTTGGAGAGGGGCGGCTGCTGGTGGCACAAAGGCGCTCTCGTCTCCCAGCCTCAGTCCAGAGGTTTCCTGACCTCCCCGGGTACCAGCAGCAGGGAACCTCGCTCCTGCCCCCAGCACAGACCCAGAGCAGTGAGGTGCAGCCTCAGGTGGCCCCAAAACACCCCCAAATCCCCAGCATTTTGGGGGTGCCACACTGGGAACGAGCCAAGGCAGGGACGCAAAAGCCAAAGCCCATCCTGCATCCGATGCCAAGCTTCAACTGCTCAGGGCTGGGAAAAAATAAAAAATAATAATAAAAAAATCTCTTCATACCTATGTTTTTACACCTCTACATGCACAACTTCTTTGTGATTGCCCCTTTCGACATCCCATAGCACGAGTGCAAGGAAGAGGCCGGAGACCCAAAAGCCTCCAGCCACCGGGGCCTCCCTTTGTTCCCACCTTCGAGTCCCCAACGAGGCCAGCAGAAAATTCCTTCAGTCAGGGAATGCCTGCTGTCCTCCAGCACAGAAATCCCATTTTTTGGGGGAAGATTTAACAGTTTGGGGCTGAGAATTTGCCGTTACCTTTCCCATCTATTCATTTTAACCCTCCCAAAGGAGGGGTCGGTGCCAGCAGATCACCGCGACCCCCATGGCACCGATGGGGCTGAGGGTTCAGAGGGATCCCTGCGGCAAATGGGCTGGGGAGGAGGAGGAGGAGGCAGAGGAAGGCCAGGACAGGGACGCCCGACCCAAACCATCCTTCCCCCTCCTCCTGATGCCCCCTGAAATCACCCCTTCCCCACGTCCTCACACAGCAGGCAGGGGAGCAGCTCTCCCCGGCTATTTCAAGGTAAAACCGATGCACTGAGTGGAATTCTGAATTTCCAGCAGCTCTATTTGTCCAACTCGGTTCTTCTCAATGACTCGCCCATCAAAAAGTTAGGAAAGAAAACAAAAAAAAGGAAATGTCGTCCTTTTTTTTTTTTTTTTTTTTGGCTCCAACCACGCTGCTTCAAGCAGGAAAAAGGACGCGGAGAGCGCATCGCGCCATGCAGGAGCACGGAACCTGCACGAGCATCTCCTCTTAACGTCCCCAGCAGTTAGGCAGACACGAGGGAGAGGAGAGCAGACAGTGCTGAGTGTTACCCAGTCACATCAGAGTGTCCAAGCAAGCTTAAACGGCCACACGTAGGCTGCAATTTAGATCAACGTCACGCCAACGCGCGGGGCTTTCCTAGCACTGCTGCGCCCTGGGAGCAAACTGGGGAGAAAAGGGGGAAAAAAATAAAATAAAATAAAATAAAATAAATGCCCCAAACGGCTGCTTGCAGCCAGCCCCAGCTCCTGAAGGCCTCCAGGACTTCCAGTTCTGGGCTGGAAGCGCTCACCTGCCATAATTCAGCCAAAATGTAAAAAAATCTCCGCCAAGATGGAGAGCAGCGTGGTTACAGAGCTGGGGGACGTTCCTGTCCCTCTCTCGGGGTCTCTGGCCCTCTAAAGAGCCAGGAGTGGAGGGAAAAGGACCCTATTTTGGGGGGCTTTGCACCCCAGGAGGGATGGGGACGTTGGCTGGGCGCTCTCCAAGAGGGGTGCAGGACCCTGGGTGCCCCCTGCCACCACAAAGCACCTCCTGCCCCGTGCGCCCCCAAATCCATCCTGCTCCCGGACAGCACCCAGGCTGCGGGGTCCCCCATTCCCCACCCAGCTCTGCCCTCGTCCCAGGCCACCAGCCCCCATTTCTGCCCATGCCTTTTGTTATCCCCAAGCAAGTGACACCGCCAGGCTGCAGCCTCCGGCGTGCCCCCCGTGCACAATTGGCCACGGCCGAAACCCAAAAGGCGAGCGCACGGCACCGCTTCCAGCCCCGGATTGGCCAAAAAACGCTGTCCCCCCCCCGGGATGAAGGCTCCAGCCAATGGTGGGTGGCACGTGGCAGCTCGCCGCCGCTCGCCCAGCCATAAAAGCGCCTCGTCCCTGCACCAGGAGCCGCCCCACGAGGATTTGGGGGTGAGAGACACGGCCGCGCTCGGTGCTGGTGTCCGAGCATCGTGAGGAGCGGTGGCACCAGTGGCCACGAGACTTGGAAGGACCGAGGCACGGTGATGTCCCCCTGCCACCAGGGCCAGGGCTCTGTCCCCCAAAAGATGCTCGAGCCTAATTCATGGTGCCCAAGACCCCGCCAGACCCCCAGAGAATTCCCCCATTCCAAGTTCCATGGCCAAGCTCATTTATTAAATTTAAAAGTAACCCCAGGAGCATGACAAGTCCTTCACACTGCACCCAAAACTCCAGCCTTTCCCTGTCCCTTTTGCTTTTTTTTTTTTTTAAATAAATAAAAGATCCTGCACAAGAGCGGGTCCAGCACGGGTCGGAGGCCAGCTCTTTTTCTCCATCCCCCACAATGATTTTTTGTGAGGTTGCAATGCCATAAATACCCCTTCCCCACCCCACTTCAGGTGCTGCCACCCATACGGGTTTTTATTACAATTTTTTTCCCTTGGAATCACCATTCCAAGGTGATATGGAACAAATAACTGAATCCACCACAAGACCTTTGTGTTCTCAGCACCACCGCGACACCTCTCCAAACAGGCTGCTGTATTTCACGGCAGCCTCTAAGCCAAGCAGCCTGACCATTAAAAGCAGGCAAGAAGCACCCAGCCCACATCTTTGACCCAAAATCCCTTTCTAGAAGAGAGCAAGTAAAAAAATAAAAATAAAATTAAAAAAAAAATCTGATTCCATAAGGAAAAGAATGGCAGAAAATCCAGTGCAGGGGGTGACGGCCAGCGTGAATTTGCAGTCAGAGAGGATAAATTAAATAAAATCAGGTTCCCTGATTAGCCTCGTATGGTTTCATCCCCAAGTTATAAATATATATTTTGTAAATCCCTGATCTTGGAACCTTAAATCCATTCAGGGAAACGCTCATAGACAAAGGGTTAAAAGGAGAAAGCCGGCGCTTGGATCGAGAGGTACTGGGAAAGAAAAACAAAGAAAACTGCAAGATCCCATTTTCCAAATCACCACCTCGGTCTTTCTAGCCCCGAGACCAAGTTGTATCTGCCAGGGAACGAAATTACACATTTAACAGAGAGAAAATAGAGGGGGGGAGGGAAAAAAAAAAATAAAAAAAGGGGGGGGATGAATCCAGTATTTGTGTTTGCAAAACAAGCATTAATAAAGCGTGCTCCGGCGCTGCGTTATTGCCCAGATAATCCACGGCAGTAACCTGCCTCGATTTTTTGGGCTCTGGGCTGCCGTGGGGCTGCTCACACGAGGAAAGTTGATCCTCGGTGTGCAGCCTGGGTCCTGCACTTCGCCAATTCCTGGCCTGGGGAAGTTTTACTTCGTTAATTCAATCCCGGGCAGCGGCCGAGGGGAGAGCGGCCGCAGCCTCGGCTGGCTCAAGGCAGGTTTCTTTTTTCCCCCCTCGCATGCACGGCATCACCAAACTCTTCCTTAAAACCATATGGAGGAAATTAGGTGCTTAAAAATTAAAAAAATAAAAAATAAAAAATCCTACCTCAGGTTTTAATTCCAGTCCCAAAAAGTTGCCTTTTTTTTTTTTCCCCTGTGCTTTTTTTTTTTCCGCCTCTCGTTTCCTTTCTCTTCTTTCTTTTCCATTTCTTTTTCTTTTTTTTTTTTCCTCTCCTTTTCCTCCTCTTCCTTCTGATGAATTTCCTTTCTTCTCCACATCCTCCTCAGGCGTGTACTGGGGTTATTTTTACTTTCGGTTATCTAGCTTTATGAAGAATTGACACCACTCATACAGCTAGATAACCAAAGATAACAACCAACCCCTGAAGTCTACAGCATCAGCAGGAAAAAAAAAAAAAAAGCCAGCCTCCTCTTCTCCAGGGGCTTGGGAGGAAGGAACGAGGGAGGAAACGAATAAAAAGAGAGGCAAATATTAGCAGTGCGATCTGGAACAGCACAGACACGTCAGGGTCCTCGACCCAGCGCCAAGCTCCCCTCAGCACCAGTGGGACGAGCAAGATCAGGCCCTGGGAAACGCGATTTTGGGGCAGAATTTGGGGAATCAGCACCCAGGAGCTGCCCCTTTCCCGTCGCCAGCTTAAAAGCTGGTCCATTTGCAAGCCCAGTGGTGCTCTGCAGGTGCTGAAAATCGAGCCCATGGTGCTTTTACCAAGCCCGAGCCCCCTCGGATTGAAGGGCTCGGAGCAGCAACGAGCCAAGCGAACAGAATTTGTGCCCCCCAACTTCACGCGGGGGACCAGAAGGACATTTCCTCCTCCCCCCACCCCCCCAAAAAAAAAAAAAACCATCCCCGGGAACGCGTTGAACCCTCGCGGAACAAAACGCCTGCCCAAAATAATCATCGTAAATCAATCAAAAACCCGCAGGTTCAAAATAAACGCTAACTTGCGATGCCTCGGGTTCAGCCAAGGTGTGGGGGGGCGGGGGGGGGCCGGGAGGGATGGAGAGGGGCGGAAAAGGCGGAGGAAATGATGGAAGGCTGGGAAGGGAGGACGGGGGGGGGGGCAGCGAGCCCTGCGAGCCCGGCTCCGCGCCGCTCCCCGCAGCCCCCCGAGCCTTCATCCCTCTTCCTCCTCCCTCCTCGGGGGCTCTGCTGCCTCCCGGGGGTGTTTTTTTTTTGGGGGGGGCACCCGCAGGCAGCTCCTTCCCGGCCCAGCTCCGCGCCTCCACCCTGCCTCCCCCGGGCAGCCTCCGTCCTCCGGGGGGGGGCACGGCAGCCTCCCTCCTGCCCCCACCTGCGGACGGGTCTCCCCCCCCTCCATCCATCCATCCATCCATCCATCCCCCCCCCACCCTCCCCTCCATCTCCTTCCAGCCTCCTCTCCACCCCTCACCGCATCCATCCTTCCTTCCATCCTCCCCCCCATCCTTCCCTCCATCCCTCTCCCCATCCTTCCATCCTCCCCTCCACCTCTCCTCCCTTCCACCCCTCTCCCCATCCTCCCTTCCACCTCTCCATCCTTTCCCCCCCCCCCCCCAGAGGCCCCACCCGGCCCCGCTTATTTCACCTGCAGCCCTTCCTTGCTCCGCGGGAGGCCAATTCGCACGGCACGGCCACGTCCTACGGGCTCGGCACGGCTCGGCACGGCCGGGACCTCATCCTAGGGCCCAGGGCAGCATCCCCCGACCTCAGCCAAACCCGGCTCGGCTCGGCTCGGCTCGGCTTGGCCAGACCCGACCCGGCTCGGAACGCCTTGGCACGGGTTGGCACGGCTCGGAACGGCTCCACGCAGCTCGGCCAGGCTCGGAAAAACCCAAAACGCTTTGGCCCGGCTCGGAAAAGCTGCGAAGGGTTTGGCCCGGCTCTGGCACGGCTCGGCCCGGTGCCGGCGGCCGCCCGCAGGTTGTGCGCCGGGGGGAGCGGCGCGCGGCACTTTTCATTCATGCTTTCCCCACTCCCGGCCCTCGCCGCCGCCCCCCATTGGCTGAGCCCCCCCTGACGTCACCGCTCCCGGTTCCCACCCCTCTGCAGCGCCTATCAATGAACGGGGGGGGGTGTGGGGGGGGGGCGCACTACGGGGCGAGGGGGGTTGGGGGGGGGGGATTACGGGGTGAGGGGGGGGGAGAGGGTTGGAGCGCTCAGCTCACGCCGGGATCGCAGCCCCCACCCCCGGCACCCCCTCCCCATTCCTCATAGTCCCCACATCACCCCCCATTGCCCTCCCCCCCCCCCCCATCACGACCCCCCCCCAACCCCAAAACCCTCAACCCCAAAACCCCCAACCCCAAAACCCTCAACCCCCAAACCCCCAACCCCATCCCCCCCTAACGCCCCAAATCCAACCCCAAAACCTCCAACCCCAAAACCCCCAAGCCCAAACACCCCAACCCTGAGCCCCCCCCCAGCCCCAGCAGCCCCCATCGTCCCCCAAGGGTCCCAGCTCCCCCGGGGGGGGCACCAAAACCTGCATTTTTTCCCCACTTTTAACCCCCCACCCTCTTTTTTCCCCCCCCGCCGCCCTTTTATTCCCCGTTAGCACCAAAACCACCCCAGGATCCCTCAAACAGAACTGGGGCGGCTGCGATTTTTTTTTCCCATTTTTTCCTTAAAATTCCCCTTGGCCTTGGATTTTTTTTTAATTTTTTATTATTATTATTTTTTTAATCCCAGCCTAAAAGCAGCCAAATTTGGGGCTGTTTCCATCAATTTTCCCTCCTTCCCCGGGCCGCATCCTCCCCACCGGGGCCCTCTCCCAGTTCCCCAAACTGGGAAACCCGGAGCCCACTGGGCCGGCCCCCAGCGACGGGGACCAGGGATGACCCTGGGGGCCAAGGACAGCTTTGATTTGGGGCATTTCCTTTTTATTTGATCATTTTACAGCTTTTTTTCCCCCCCTACTTTCACTTCCCGGATCCTGCGGGGACCGTGGAAAGGGCGCAACCACCGCGCGGCTCCGCGCATCCCCGCTCGGTTTCCCGCACACGACCGCGATTTTCCTTCGATTTTTTAATTGCAAATCCAGCTAAATTGGTAAATCAACACCCTCCCGGAATTATAGAATTTTTTAAAAAACCGTCGAGAAAAATAAAATAAAAGAAAACCAACGATATTTCTGCTCTTTACCCCGAGCCGCACCGCCACCAAACTTGGCCGCTCGGAGGGGTTTTCCCCATGACCTTGCGATTTAATTTGGATTTGGGTTTGATTTGAAATTATTTTCTTAGCCCTCCCTTCGCGGGGGGGGCGTCGGGATTTGCAGGGGATGCCCTCCCGGCTTGGGTTTTGCCGTAGCTAAATGCAGACCCCGCTCCATGCTTTGCTGCCTCCCTACAAAAAGTCGCTTTCCGCGCCCCGAAGGCAGAACAAAACCCAAATACAATGAGCGGCTGCGGGGAGGGGGGGGGAAAAGGGGGGGGGGGTCCAGCTTTAAAAATCGCACCGAGAATTGCAGAAAAGCGCAGAAAAAGCCCAAATTTGGGGGCTGGAGGAGCTCCGCGCCTTCCCCTCTTTGCCCGGCTCCTTCCTTGGAGGAGAATTAAGGACGGGCTGCGGGGCGCGGGTCTTTGGTGGGGGGGGGGGAATAGGAAAAAAAAATAAATAAAATTAAATTAAATTTAAGATTAAAGGGCCCTTCCCTGTGCTGGGGTGAAAAAGCCGGGCGGGGGTTCTGCTGGCCCCGCCGGCTCCGGGGAGGGCTCACATCTGGGCAGCTTTGCTGCCCTCACCTCTGGCCAGATGTGTCCCCCCCCCCGGGTATCCTGGGCCCGACTTCAGCCCCCCCCCCCCGCCCCCAAATATTTGGGGGATCGGAGCGTGCCGACAGCGGGCTCTTGGGATCAGAGGGGTTATGGGGAGGGTAAGGGGGGAGAAAACCCCGGAGCGGGGCTGGGGGGAGCGCCGAGGTCACCCCGGCCCCGGGGAGGGGGGGGTCCATCCCCGTGACCTCAACCGTGAATATTTTGGGATCCGGACCCCCCCCTCGCTATCAGGACACCCCCAGGCCCCCGCCCCCAGCTCCTAATAAAGCCGCTTCGAGAGCCAAATTCCTCCAGCGCCTCCGCCGGCTTCCCCCCGATTTTTTTTTCCTCTCTCTCTCTTTTTTTTTTTTTTTTTTCCTTTTTCTTTCTTTCTTTCTTTTTTTTTATTATGATTTTCTCACCAAGTCCGATAAATTGAGCGGCTCGTCTGGCCTCAGACGTGTTCAGCAACCCAAGCCCCCGGGCTTTTGTTCCGCCGAGGCTCTCACATTGTTTGGCCGGCTCCGGGCCGGGCGAGCGCAGCGCGCACACGCTCCCGGGGGGGGCGCGCTGCTGGAGGGGGGGTTTGGGGGCTGGGTGTGTGGGGGGGGAGCTCGGCCGCCCCCTTCCCCCGGGGCTGTCCCCGAGGTTTGTCCCCGCGTGGGGCGGGACGTGGGGCCGAGGGCTGCTGGGGCTGGGGCTGCCTGTGCCGCCCTGCTCACCTGCATCCCTCCCTGCCCGGTATCCCGGATCCCTGCCCTATATCCCCGGATCCCTGCCCTATAACCCCATATCCCTGCCCTCTATCCCCGCATCCCTGTCCCATAGCCCTGGATCCCTGCCCTGCATCCCTCCCTGCCCTATATCCCTGTATCTCTGCCCTATATCCCTGTATCCCTTTCCTATATCCCCGCATCCCTGCCCTGTCTCTCTGCATCCATCCCTGCCCTCTATCCCTCTATCCCTGCCCCATATCCCTCTATCCCCACCCCATATTCCTGCCCTATATCCCTCTATCCCTGCACTACATCCCTGCACCCATCTGTGCCCTATATCCCTGCATCCTTGCCCTGCCTCCCTGCCCTATATCCTTCTATCCCTGCCCGCTATCCCTTCTCTCTATCCCTGTATCCCTGCCCTGTATCCTTGCATCCATCCCCGCCCTATATCCCTACCCTATATCCCTGTATCCCTGCCCTATATCCCTACCCTATATCCCTGCATCCCTTCCCTCTGTCCCTGCCTCCTTGACCCATATCCCTGCCCTCTATCCCTGTATCCTCACTCCACCCCCCTGCTGTTATCCCTACCCGATATCCACGCACCCCTGCCCTATATCCCACCCTCCCTGCCCCACAAGCCTGCCCCACATCCCTGCATCCCTCCCCCACATCCCTGCCCCACATTTCTGCCACCCATCCCTCTATCCCTGCCCCACAGCCCTGCCCAGCATCCCGACCCCACAGCCCTCTATCCCTGCCCCAAATCCCTCTCCCCCTGCCCCACACCCCTACCCCATACCCCTGCCCCAAATCCCTCTCCCCCTGCCCCGCACCCTGCCCCACATCCCCCCCCTCCCTACCCGCCGCGGGCTCCCCCCCCACCTCCGCAGCCCCCGCTCCGGGGCCGGGGCCGGATCCGTCGGTGGAGGAGCGGGGCCGGAGCCGGGCGCGGGGATCCGGAGGAGCGGAGCCTTCCCCGCAGCTTTCCCCGCAGCCTCCCCGCAGCCTCCCCGCAGCCTCCCCGCAGCCTCCCCGCGGCGCAGCCGTGGCTCCCTGTGCAAAAGTTGCGCTGCAAAACGCGGGGACGGCTCCGTCCAGGGGGGGGGGGATTGGAGAGGGGGGGTCCGCCGATGGGGTTGCTGCGAGGGGGAAGGGAGCTGCGCTATTTCCGAGCTCCCTTCACCTCTGGATTTCTGGAAATCGATCGGCGAAGCGCCGCAGCCTGGCAATTAGGGGCTCATTAGCATATATGCAAATGTGGTAAGCTATAGGCGCAGCGGCGGGGCTGAGATGCGGGGAGCGTTTCCCAGGGAATGAGCCCCCCGGTTCGGGGCTGAACAGGGAGCGGGGAGCTCAGGGGACTTTTCTGGGGGGGCTTCCAGGGCACAAAGAGCTCCCTGAAGCCCCCAAAAAAGCAAAACGCAGGACGGGCGGCACGGCCCCGGCTCGCTCCCGGCAGCGGCAGCCCGGGGAAAACGGCCGCTAATTGGGGAAGGCGCCTGGTAATTAGCGAAACGCCGGGTGCCAGGATGCTGGGGGACCCGGGCGGCTCCGGCCCGGGCACGACCAACCTCGAAAAATCCGGATTTCTTCCTGCAAAATAAAAGCAAATCAACCAAACCTGGGATTTCCCGGCGCACACGATCGACCGCGGGTTCCCTATCGCGATACAGAGTTACCTGCGATTTTAGAAGCATCGCCGGCTGGGTTTCCTATTTCTTTATTATTTCTTTATTATTATTATTATCATGATTATTATTTTTTTTTTGCTCGATAAGCACAGATTAGGAGCAAAATCCCCCCGGCATTTCCTGACCAAAGCCGGAGGATTTCCTCCTCGGTGCCCACCCAGGGCAGGGGGCACCTGCACCGAGGCATTTCCCCAAATTTCCCCAGCCCCACGCTCTCCCCCCTCTCTTTCCCAAACGCCTTCTGTCCCCCCCCTTTCAACAAACCCCAAACTTCGCTTATTCCGCAGAAAAAAAATCCCCCTTCCAAGCCGGACTCCAATTTTCCTCCCTGTTTGGGATTTTTTTTCCCCTTCCGTTTCACCCACAGAATTTTTTAATTTTTTTTGCGACACCCCCAAAACCCCGACAACGAGACCAAACCCGCAACCGATCCCTTCCCCTCCGGGCGCGATTTTTAACGGCTTTCCCTTAAAACAACCCCAAATTTTGTTCCGGCGAGCAACAGCCCCACAGCCCGGCTCGGCCCCGCGGGGAACGAGGTAATTGCAGGGGGTCCTGGGGGTGGACCCGGGGGGGGCACTTCTATTTTTTTAATTGGGAAAAGCCCTTTCAAGCTCCTGAATTTGCAGCTCGGCAGCTGAGCCGCTTTTCCCAGCCCCGTGCGGGTCGCTGCTCTCCGCATTCCTCTGCCCCATCCCTCATTAATTCCTCAGCCACCAGGATTTTTTTTTTTCTTTTTTTTCCCTTTTTTTCCCCATTCATTTATTTACCGTGAATGGCCCCAAATTGGAAAATAGCTCGGGAGGCGACAGG